ATTATAGGCAAGTGCAAAGATAATGCCATTGGGAAAAGCAATTTAAGTCATTCRGGCACTTCCAGGCCAGGAAATCCTTCCAGTCTTAGAGGGGGAACATTTAGGAGTCATCAGACCCAGCCTGATGAAGTCATCTATTCATTGTGCAGCTAAGGATCAACAAAAGAGCCGAACACACAAGGGGACAGGACATATGGAATAAATTTTGGTGGCTGGGATGTATTTCTGTGACTTCATTTCAATCACCTTTATAACAAATCTTACCTCTTTTTTTTTTCCTTCTGCCTGTAGTATTTCCCTCTGCCCCATGTTCTTATCTCTCTAAACAGAGTTTTGATGTAGGAATGAACATTTTAAGTAAATATTCTCCTTCCCAATTTTTAGTTTTTATCTTCAAACAGACTGATCTCTATACACATATGAGTTTCCACGGGGCTCTTTAGATATTACAAAACTGTTCTTTTTTTTAAACACCAAGGAGGCTGTTTCTATGCAACAGAACTTGTACGAATTTGTACACCTCTTCAGATCCTTTATGTTTACTTCACAAGTCTAGAATTGGAAGATGGGGGAATGTTATATTATTTTGTTAAGTGAGTGGGAAAATATATTGTTATGGTTTAGGTATTAGATGTCCCCCAAAGGTTTTTTTTTTTTAATGCTAGAAAGTTTAGAGAGGAAATTGGGTTAGGAGAGTCTTAACCTAATCAGTGTGTTAATCACCTGATCAGGATTAACTGGGTGGTTAAGTGTAGGCAGGTAGGTTGTGGCTGGAGGAGGTAGGTCTTTGGAACATGCCTTTGGGCTATATAKGGTTTACATTTTGTCCTTGGTGAGAGGAGTCACTCTTTGCTTCCTGGTGTCCTGTCCTGAGCTGTTTTCCTCTGCCACACCCTTGTGCCATGACGTTCCGCCTCATCTTGGGCAAAGAGCAATGGAGTTTGCCATCTAAGGAACTCAGAAACCATGAGKGCCAAATAAACTTTTCCTCCTCTAAAATGCTCTTGTCAGGTCTTTTGGTCACAGCAGCAAAAAAAAGAAAAATTGACTAAAACATGCATTGAAGGAAACCATACTTGCAACTGTTTCTGTAAACCTACATGCCATTTGGGAATCCCAAAGTAAAGGTTTTCAATGACTGCTGTACTGATAAATCCAATAGATTCCATCTTCTGATGTATCTTCTTCTCTGATTGCTACTGTTTTGTCTCCCTTTTAGGTTCAGCCTCCTCTTCCCAACCATTAAACATGAGATTATTTGATCTCTAAAGTCTCAGATGCCCCCTCCCTTTTTTTTAGACAATCTTCCATGTTTCCAGACATATCTTTCTTCACACTCAATCACATCCCACATCTTGCTTGTTTCTCAACCACTCTGTTCTCCTACAAACCATGGTACCATTGTACTTATTTCTTATACCAGCATACTCTTTTCAGGGTTTTGCTCTGATTAACACTTGCTAGCTCATATCATTTTTTGAATGTATCAGATTTGTTCCAACCTCCCTAGTGTGAGCTTTTATAWCATCCCATAACATTTCTTTACAGTACTTATTAGAATTATAGTTTTATATCTATTTGTGTGATTCTTTGATTCATGTCTACCTTCCCCAGTACACTATAAGCCTTTTCTGTTTCTGTATCTTCTCTTTCTATTGCTACCATCTAACTTTGCACCTCCCACCTTTCTTCTTCATAGGTTGCCATAGCTCTTGCCAACCAATGGCTTACTCTGTTTTGCAGATTCTGCTAATAAGCTTTTCTCTCTTTCAATTTCCACTCTTACTGCCAGCTGTCAGTTCTCACTAAATTTTTTGTATCCACACTCTACTAGCTAGAGACCTGGTTGGTCTACTTCATATTTATCATGCCTTTATCAAGGTTCCTTTGACAGATTACTTCATGGCTCCTTGTCTAATGCTCAATGGACTTCACTCAGGTCAAGGTCATCCTCTTTCCTTTGTTTGTGGCCAGGATGGTAGGATTGAAAGGCCAAATGCCCTGAGAAAATACAAGACACCAGGGCTGGGGTTTGGGCTCAGCAGTAGAGTGCTCACTAGGACATGCGAGGCCCTGGGTTTGATCCTTAGCGCCATATAAAAAAAAATAAGTAAAATAAAGGTATTGTGCCCAACTACAACTAAAAAAAATATTTTAAAAATTGAGACTTTTTTTTAAAAAAAGAAAATACACCAGATACATTCTTCTTTACAGTCTGCTTGGTAGGAACTAGCAAAATTGGGAAAGGATCTCCCTTAAACTGAAGTTGTAAAACAGAAAATAAGCATGGAAAAGAATAGAACAGAATGATATCTTTCCTGACCATGAAAGACTTTCAAACCATAATTTTTTTTCCATATTCCACTGTAGAAAAGTTCATACAAATGAATTTGACAGCTCTTATTATCCATTGTAACGTTGGTGTGCTTCCAAGTTGTGCTTGTTCACCTTGGAACTTGATGAAATTGGACCATGAATAAAAAAAGAAAGAAAARAAAAGAAAAGGAGCACAGAAAATTGTAGCATTCAACATCCTGCTCCTTGGTTGATGTTCTGCTCAACAAAATCTCCATTCCTCTGCATATGTTGTTAGCACATTAAGATGCACAGGTTAAGTCCATTTGTGTCTGATGAGCAAAGAAAAAGTCTTAAAGGAGGATCTGAAGTATTTGGGGAATGACAGAACCTACTAAACACATGTCAGAGTATTGGATAAAGTACTCTTTAGTGGCTACTCTACTGTTCCATCTTTACGTCTTGTGTGCAGAGCTTCAGGCCCCCACCCAAACTGAAAGAGGTTCACTAGTTCTCCCCTTTAGCAGCCCTGGCTTCTAATCCTTGATGTTTTACCCAACCCCTTAAAAACTTGAGGTTGTCAAAAAATTTTTCAAGATTCAATCCTTCAACAGTCTCTATTACAAAAATGAAGAAATGAATAAAAATGTAATTGTGACCTAAACAGCTGGCAGAGATGAGATTTTTATTAAACTTAAAAAGATATGGCCACCATCCATTTCCTGGGCAGAGCACTATAGTGTTGAGATTAATAGCACAGATTCTAGAATTTGATTGCCTGGGGTTAAACTCTGGATTAAATTCTGGCTTGACTATCTACCAACTATGTGAACTCAGGTAAATTACTTGGCTACCCMTCATGTGTAATATGGTTGGTGCAAAGATTAAATAAGTTACTAAATATCAAGTGATTACAACAGTGGTGACATTAGATGTGTGTGGGCTATAATTGTTGTTTATATTATTATTGTCCTTTAAGCCACCTGATCCAATTAATGGCCACCTGTATCACTTAGGACACATTTTGCTTGAAGGTAACAGAAAGGAGATTTATTGGCTCACACAACAAGGAAATCCAAAGGATGGCCTAACTTCATCGTGGCTGAACCCAAGTATTCAAATGATGCCACCCAAGAACTCTGCCTTGTGCCTTGGCTTTCATCGGAGCCAACACTATTCTCAAGCAAGCTTCCTTTGCATGGTAACAAAGATGTACCTTGAGGACTACTCTGTCCTTTCACTTCTTCCTCAATGGATCCCGAGAGAGAGCCTAATAGCCCCAGGTTCTGTTCCATCATTGAGCCCATAATCAGAGGGATGGAGTATTTCCATCAACCAATCCTGGACCTCGTGCTAACCTTTGTAGCCAAAGGGACAGGTAGGGCTAACTCTATACAAATATCACRATCCCCTGGAGGAAAGATGCTCAGCAGAAGATACTCACTGCTCAACCCTTTGTGAAAGCACAATCTGGGACCACTTTTTCTAAGGAGGGACTAGATGACGCCCATTGACATGTTTATTGACACTTTTAGCCTTTTTCCATCGAAAGAGTTCAAAACATCCATGACTGAACGTTCAGACTGTTGGAAAACTTCTAGAGTGTGACCTCTGGTTCAGTCTGAATGAACGTCAGAACAATCAGAATGGAGGAAAGCTACCGGCAACCAGCACAACTGTCAAAGGACATTCCCACTGACCAGCAACACTGCATCAAGTGCAAACACTGGGTTGAATCTAGGGGACTCAAATGTTCAACCCTCTTCATTTTCATTGAGCAYACACTCTCTAATTCTTTCTGCTTTATTCACCTACCACTTGGAGGCAGGACTGGAGTAGGCAGTTGTTTTCAGAACTTCTCCTACTCTTTAATTCCCTTTATCGTCTTACATGTTTGACCCCTGATTTGGGACACATACTTGGGACAGAGAATAAGCTTTTGAACTAAAGCTTGAAAGACCTTGATATGGAGGGATGGCGGAAACATACTCTTCTTGTTGTCTTTCCCTGCTACCCACCGCCCCCNCCCCCCCCCAGCCTTAGGAAAAGAGAGGTCCCCACCTTTTTTTTCTTTTTTTCTTTTTGTTTTTTCCTACTGCCACCAAGTACTTCATAAAACAACCATGATATCAGCTGGAGTAATCTTTGTCCAGGGATACACTACTTCTTCAAAACCAGGTTGAGGCAACCTTTGATTAGAGACTTACATGAGGGGTAATTTAATARGCCAGCTCAATTTGGCTAGAATGTATTTACCAACAATGAGTGTGTGTGTGCGTGGKTGTGTGCGTGTGTACTTCTTATCACACTTGATTCYCCTAAGTTAATGTGTTCAAAGCACTTAGCACAGAGTTCACACCAAATAAATATTCCCCCTCTTCCCCACTGGCCCTGAAGTCTAGCCTTAGTAACTTATTTAATCTTTGCACCAACCATATTTCACCATGATGAAATAACAGTTAAAACACAAAGATGAGTTGTTTAGCGTTACTTGCTTACAATACCTAGCAGCACCTCTTCTTCATCCTGTCTTCCAGACACACAAAAGTGTCCACACCTGCTCACCAGGAGATATTTCCCCACCCTTCTCTCCCAACTAATATSCATGCCTACAGAAAGACTTAGAAATGCTTGCCAAATTGAGTTGACCTTTGCTTCCCTCTTCTCAATGGAAGTTGATGGATTTCACACCTGTCTCCTTTTAGGATTGCAGAGAATACAGCAACTTGCAAAAAACACAAAATACTTCCGAGAGAAGCTGAAGGAACTGGGATTCATTATCTATGGCAATGACAAGTCTCCTGTTGTTCCTGTGCTCCTTTACATGCCTAGTAAAGTAGCGTAAGTATCTGAGGACTCCTGGAGTCACACCTGAACCCCAAGCTGACCTAAGATGGTGCTATTGACACTCTGCAGTTTTCCTGCAGTTATTAGATTATGCATTTGAAAAAGGTACTTAAATTCAGAACTCACTTATACAACTTCTCAGAACCCACATGCCAGACATAGCAGAGATTTTTCCACATGTCTTATAATAAAGGAGTCAGATGCTTAAGGACCAACTAACTCTCTCCCTGCTACCATCTTCAAGCTCTAGAAATTTGGGGGAAGTCACTTATCTGCACTATAAATTAAGAATGATCCTGAGCCTCCTTCTAATCCATGGTCTTTCTTGGGGAGAACTTGCAAAGCCYAGTTCTCTCAATATCAATATCAAAACAAATCAGACCTTGTCCCATTGAACTCTCATGACCATTCTCAGAAGTGGGCATCCTCATTCAGGTGTGAGAAAGCCGAGGCTGAGGGAAGTTCAACAACTTGCCCAAGGTCATATAAATCAAATGGTAGTAAAACTAAGAGCAAAATCCAAAACCTAGATTCACAACAAAGCTCATTCTCCTAACATCAAATCTTAATGCCTCTGCTGTAAGCCTATTTGGGGTTGTTTTCTGCTGTTCGCAACCCGAATATTGAGCATTGGCAACACCTACCTAGAGGAAAAAATTACTTTTTCTCATTATGGCTTAGACAATTTTATACAGGAGCCATGCTTCAACCTGTGTGAGACTAATTACCTCTCTGTTAAAAAGAAGTTAACCTAAAATGTTCCTAAATGTTTATTGRTGTCTTTGACCAAGCATAGGGTAGAAAGTAATATTCAACATAATATTTCTTAGATTCTAAAGAGCCCAAATTCCCTTCCAACATAAGGCCATTACTGGAAATTTCTGTTTGACTCTCTAACAGTCTGGACAGACTGACAGACATTTGCAATAGAAAAGTACCAGTGAAAAGGGTGTGGGGGACCAGTGTTGAAAACTAGGGAGAGCAGGGTTGAGTTCAAAGTTCCCAAAAGACTGATTCTTTGAAGCATGCTCTGGTGTCATTTCACCATGACGAAATAACAGTTAAAACACAAAGATCAGTTGTTTAGCATGCCACACCAGAACCACTAGTTGGTCCTTCTCTTCATGAATCTGGTTCAGGAAGACAATGCATGGAGCATCCAAGGAGACAGAGTGCTATAGAAATGTTACACACCAAGGCATTCTACGGCAGTGGGGTGGAGGATGACAACAGTAATTCCCAGTAGCAGATGGTTTTGGAAGGCGYGCGYGCRCACACACACACACACACACACACACACACACAAAACACTCAAAGTGGCTCGGGAATTGCATGTTCTAGAAGGAAAATCCCAAACTTAGCTCTTATGTAACTAATATTTGATCATTAGCACAAAAGAAGGCACCCAAAATAAACTTGCTTGGGGATACAGTGCACAATATTGGAGTGGTGGCATAAAGGAGTGTGCTAGGTAGTTCTCACTTTCATGATAGCCAGAATTAGGATCTCAACATGTTGGACAAATGAACCAACCTAAAGAGAAGAGTCTGTGAATAGGAAAAAAGGGGAAGTAGCAAGAAAAGCATTTCTACTAATTAAAATATAATTTTAACTGTTATATATATTAAAAATGTACATATGTACATATTAATGGGATATCACATGATGTTTAAGTATATGAATATACATTATATAATGTTTAAATCAGRTTAAAAATATCTATCTCAGTCGGGCACAGTGGCACATGCCTATAATCCCAGTGTCTAGGGAAGCTGTGTCAGGAAGATRGTGAGTTCAAAGCCAGCCTCAGCAATGGCRAGGTGCTAAGCAACTCAGTGAGACCCTGTCTCTAAATAAAATACAAAATAGGGCTGGGGATGTGGCTCGGTGGTTGAGTGCCCCTGAGTTCAATACCCAGTACAAAAAAAAAAAAAACAGAAAACAAAAACAAATCTACCTCCTCAAATATCATTTCTTTCTGGTGAAAGCATTCAAAATTCTTCTAGCTATTTGAGATATAGAGTACATAATTGTCTATARTMACCCTATTGCACAATAGCCAGCTAGCTCTTCAAATGCATTCCAGTTCAAGTAGTCACTAATACAATATGCCTCATGTAAAACTTATGCTGTATGGCATAGTGAGTGGTTTTGAATCAAAAAAAGAGTTTTGACTGCCTCTTAGGAATCTGTGGAATCTTGGCAAAGTAGTCCAACCTTCTGAAATCCTAGTTTTCTTATGTATAAATTGAGATATAAAAATRCCTGCTTCCTAAAATCATTATGAAGATTAAACAAGGTAAGTTCTTTACAGCATTTGGCATGTTGACTCTTACATAACAGTGTTAGCTGTTATTAATAATATCAATAATGTATATGATGCACTTAACATAGTTCTTGTTTTACTATAAGCATTTAGTCAATGATAGCCATCATTACTGCTGTGATTGTTGTTCTTTTATCATAATGATGATTATTAGTTTCAATTGAGTACAATGATGAGTCATTGTGGTTACATGACTCTCCAGAATGCTTATTGCAATTTTGGTTACATTAATAAAAACGGAACTCCCAGAAAAATTAGCAGGTAAAGATCTTGCATCAATTATGCTATATTGGGCACTGGATGATATGTTGAAGTGTTGTGTTCATTCCAGTTGAAGATTGTTTTCCAGGAGAAGCTAAAATTGCTTAATTCTGATTATATGCCAAACAAGGGTATTTGACCTCAGTGATCACGGATGAGTTTAACCACTGAGGGTGGGATAMTGACACAACAGTCAGTTGAAACTGTTTAGAAACCACTTTCTAAGGCTCACACAGGTTGTAGGCAGCAAAGCTCAGAATTCAATTTGCCTCCTAAACCTGAGCACTTTTGAATACACAGCCATTCAAGCTTCAATCCATAAGAGAAAATGCACATTTCATTAAAGAAACAGAGTATAAATTTAACTCTCTTGAATGCCATCATCGGTCATTCAAAAGAAATCAGTCACTGTGACAGAAAAATATCTGTTTGGATTTCCTACAGAAACTGAGAAAAAGTTAGAAAGAAAATATAATYGCAACTAGGAGTTGCTGGCAAGAGCTTATTTTACTGGCTGTCTTTGTTCCTTTCTATGATACTTCTTCCATTGAAGGTTTATATGCAGAGAAACAGAGAGTTAATTGTATCAGACAGTGTAGAAAACACTTTTTTCATTTACACATTTAAAAACCTTCCATGTTATTAAAACATTGTGGTTTCTCCATATTACCACTTCTGTCAAATGAAAGGATAATCTCTAGCTAGTTATCCTTTTGAACAAAGTGCTGTTACAACTCTACTACTGGAATCATCTATGGCATCTAGAATAAAGTGATGTCACCCATGATATGAGCACTTCAATAATCAAGAATGTTCATATTTGGTATGTGGTATAGGGAGGATTTGTATTTTCCTTCCACAATTCTTGTCTTGAACTTGAAACACAAGATGTGGTACACAAGACATGGTCATGCTGCATGTAGTAAGATGCTAATGTTCATCATATCTTCATCATCATCATTATTATTTCACCCAGTTTAGCTTTTTCCTGCAGATGCCAGTTCTAATTTGCTTTGGGGAATAAAACCCAGAAGCTCATTATATAAAATGTTCAGTGCAATCATATATATTAATATAAGGATATTAGCTGTGGTAGTATAAGTTTTCAAGTCAAAAGTGCTCCAGGGAGACCCTGAATTAGCCTAATGAATCAATAGAGTCATATATTTTGCTCTACATTTTTGGCAAAACTTGCTTCCTTCGGTACAAAGGGAAACATGCAGACAGTGAAAATGGTCTTCTGGGGCCCGAAAATTGGCCTGAGATCATGGGTCAGGTGGTTTGTACTCTAGCAATAAAAGCACTTGACTTGTTTCTCAGACAATTATGAGCTCTCATCCTGTGCAGTTCCGTGGGCAGCCTTCCATAGGGTGATCAAGAAGGAGACAGAACAGTAGAAATCAAAGGGCTAATCTYGCCTTGCCCAAGCCAGGGGGCCAGAGAGGCCGTGTGTCCTGTAGGTCTCACAATCTCCACTGCTTCATTTGATAACCTGCTTTCTGCATGAGGCAACCAAAAGGCAGACTTCTAAACAGCAGGACAGATGAATGGGCAAGCAGCCTTACTCTCCATGTCTGGTTCTAAATTCTTCCTGAGTTATGACTGTAGGTTTTTGTGGCTCTGTCAGTATCCAGCCTAAAATAATATACCAGCAAACTCTTAATGCTCAGAACAGATCTGAGGCTTTTACTTTACTTATGGGTAGAGCCACTCAGTAATTAAGGTTTCCTGCAGAGAGCAACAGAGCCCAAAGCAGGGAAAGACTCACTTGGGGGTATGTGCCTTTTTATCTGACCTTGGCTCTCAGCACAAGCAATTTACAGACTTTGAGTTTAATATTCTAGAATTGTTACTGAGATTAGCTTTAGGAAAAAAGAAGGCTAGAAGGATGAAGGGAAGGAATCAGAGCTTATAAAGGTTTACCCTGCATCAAAGAGCTTTATCTGCCCATGAATTTCTCTGTGTGCTCACTTCTTACCCTGCATCCCTCCTGCCTGATTCTCCTTGATCCCAGTCAATGGGTTTATTATCCCAGAGCATACCTGCATATGTTCATTCATGCACTTAAAAAAAATGAGACCCTTGCTATTTCTTATTTCTGATTTTATGTAAAATATGATCTTTGGCTCTGGAATGGGAATGTTGGGTTGGAGATTGGATTCTACAAACCCTGAGATCCTGATCTTCAAATGATAATAAACAAATATAACTTACTGGTATTAAGTGTTTTAAAACATATAGATTTGCCTTTAATATATATTCTTTCTAATGTAATTGTAATGTGTTAGGTGTTTTTAATACAAGGAACCCAGCAGATTAAAGGTTTTATATCAATTCAGTCTTGTTAAACCAGAGTCATATACATCAACATTTTCTGCTCAATCTCACAACAGACTCAGTGCTCACAATTATCAAATGTGTTTGTCAGACCCCATAATAACCCCATAATACTACACACTTAGTTATGGGAGATATCAAATGACCACCCGCCTCTTTTCAGTTGCATCTAACAGAGCTTAATAACTTTAAATCTACTTGTTATTATAAAAAAGAAAAAYCAATTTTCCATGTTCCTTTTGGGCAGTGGGGATCAGGATAATTCTGTCTCCTTTATGTTAACTGTTCCCCCTTTTCCTAAGGGCTTTTGCAAGGCATATGTTAGAAAGAAAAATCGGGGTGGTCGTCGTTGGATTTCCAGCTACTCCACTCGCAGAAGCTCGGGCTAGGTTCTGCATTTCGGCAGCACATACTCAGGAGATGTTGGACACAGTAAGTACCCCACAGGCCAATGGGAAGTCTACTTGTGGCACCTTGGATTCTGAACATGTAGTTTTCTTGAGCCAGATTGGGATTCTCTGAATTTTTCTTGGGTAGTGACAGATGAAACTCACTGCTAAAAACCTAGGGTATGGCAACAATACCCAACAAAGTGATCAACTCAGTTGAAGGAAAAAAAATCAGTTTAGTAAAGGTGAGTCAAGTCAGTATTGTGGTTTCATAGAACAGACAAGTAAATAGGCAAAATGTGCTATAGACTTGTTCTGCAATGTGAAAGCTGACCTTCCATGCTATTTTTTAATGTTTATTTTTTAGGTGTAGTTAGACACAATACTTTTATTTCATTTGTTTATTTTTATGTGGTGTGAGGATCGAACCCAGGGCCTCGCCCATGCTAGGTGAGCTCTCTACCACTGAGCCACAACCCCAGCCCCCTTCCATGCTGTTTTAACATTAACTACCTGTATCCTGATATTTTCATAGCCACTAAATCTTCCATCATAAAACAGGACCCAGTTAAGCAATACATTGGAAAACAAACAAGGACAGACGCATATGACATCAGCCAGATAAAAGTCAGGTGGAAATAATTTCAAAACTGCATTTTTTTGTCCTTTGATTTCAGTTTTTATATTAATGAGTAATATCAGAGAACTAAGCCATCTCAATCAGTTTGGGTTAGTGGAATGATCTAATAATATCAATGTAGTTACAATGAACAAACCCTGGAGCAAAAATAAAAGTCTAGGAGTAGATACAAATAAACAACTAATGATAACATCAGACAGAATAAATTGTAAAGATGAGATATGTAAATAACACTGTGGGAGCTTGAAGGTGGGGATTAATTATAATAATGGGGGAAGATTTACAGGTAAAGTGACTTTTCAGCTGAGTCTTTTTAATAAAGATTATGGGGCATGATTCAAGGTTTCTGACCAGTGGAACAGCATTATCATGTCACTATGAAAGAAAAGTGACAAAGGGGTTGAAGAAGAAAGAGGCGAGAGGAAGGGATCTAAAATGGAGGGGTTAGAACAAAACAAGAAATGACAATGACTGTGACAGCAGGAAGACAATGGATCTATGAACTGACATTACAAAAGCAGGAATTGYCAATATCTGTCAAATGACTGGAGCAGAACATGTATGGGAAGAAACAAGAGCAAAGGTAATTCAAGGTCTCTAACCCTGGTGAACAGAATGGTAAATTAGTTAAATGAGCTAAGGTATTCAGTAAGGATCAGCAAGTCTTCAATGGGAGTAAACTCATATATACGCTTGTTGAGATTACGTGTCCATGGGCCGTCTGTGGAAGAGAAAATCAATTCTAGAACTTAAAGGAGTGTGCAAAGCTGAAACTGTTGTAGTTTCAGGAATTGGGGATTCTTTTTCTTCCACAAGGTRGAAGATATAATTGTCCAGGGAAAAACAAGGGTAAACAGGCAAAAAGCAAATTCTTGTGAAGTACATGATCCCAGGACACAAGGATCACTGCTAGAGCAGTCAGGAGAGACACGGGCTAGCATAGTGTTGAACACAGTAAGAGGAAAGAGTTTTGAGGAGGAAGAGGAGAATTAAAATATTCTCCCAAAACTTAAGAAACTTCAAGTGGGGTGAGGGATGAGAAGAACATCTTGAGTTAATAATTCATAGCAACTCAGTGTTTCTTGTAGTGGACAGTTCTAGGGGAATGTAAAGAACAGAAATAGTACAAAGAATAACAGGATGAAGGAGATAGCTTGAGCTTTCTCTCTCTCTCTCTCTCTCTCTCTCTCTCTCTCTCACACACACACACACACACACACACACACACACACACCAGTGATCATCTCCTTCTTCTTTATCATTTATCCCCTCAGGACCTAAATCAGTGTACAGTACATAATAGATACACAATAAAAACAGATTAAGTGACACATTAATAACCAAACTAACTCCAGGTTTTGATGTGATAGGTAAACTCTGTTGTTTGTCTTTATTTTTTTTTTATTGTTGATCATTCAAAACATTACATAGTTCTTAATACATCATATTTCGCAGTTTGATTCAAGTGGATTATGAACTCCCAATTTTACCCCATATACAGATTGCTGTATCACATCAGTTACCCTTCCATTGATTGACATATTGCCTTTCTCCTGTCTGATGTATTCTGCTGTCTGTCCTATTCTCTACTATCCCCCCTCCCCTCCCCTCCCCTC